TTCCAACTATAAAATCCTATAGATAATCAAAAGCTAACAGCACAAAACAGAAACATTAGTTCTTATTTTTAAATAATCTTTTCTGTAATCTTGAGCAATCTTTTTAAAAAAAGTGTTCTTATTGAACACAGAGTAATGTTTAAACACTGCTGTTCTTCAGTTTAGAATCAATTTTAGACTCTAATTTAGCTCAGTTTTAGAGGACTTGAATGGCACATCAGCCCTACAGAAACAACATCATAGTAACAAAGCAGCACCTCTCAAATATTGAGGCAGCTCCTGAGCTGGCAGTTGCTAGAAGCTGACAGTGATAATAAGATTGTTTTTCTGTCTTTATTTGGGAAAGGTGTCATTTTGCTTGTTCACTTTTTTTTTTTCTTTTGAAAATGGACATAGCAACTGGGGTGGGCACATAGGCGTTAGCTCCATTGAAAATGGCAGCAATACCTTTGCAGGAATTGCCAAATAGCAGCCCTGGCTCCAGGGTATGGCCTATCTCTGGGTCAGCAGTATCTTGTTTTTGTGGCTAGCTGGGAAGCTTGGATCAAAGCTCCTGCTGAGTTCAGGAGTTACAAGGAAGGCCTTTTTTCTGCAAGTATCGCAGCTCCTCAGCCCCTGCTGAGTTCAGTGCTCAGCTGGCCAACTGCAATCCATCAGTTGCTGCCAGGCAGAGATGCAAGATTTTGTCTCCCTGGGAGAGAGTTTTCCAGCCTCAGCTGAACCCTGAGCTCAGGGCAGGCCAGCCCCGCCAGCCTCATAGAGAGGAGCTTGCTCTACGTGCAGCAGCATCCTGGCCACCTATAAGGCAGGAATGACTTTGTGAGAGAGCTGCTCCAAGTGCCTACCAAGACCCATGCCTACGTAGCTTTCTGTTCCTCCCATGCCCCCAGTGCCATTCCCTCGGCATCTACTTCCCTACCTGCGCAGCCAGTAGCGAAAACAGATCTCCTTGATAGTCGCTCACTTCACGTTACATTCATAAGGGCCATATTTTCACACTGATGAACAGGTTGTAAAAACACCTGGAAGTCATTTACTTTGCAGACTGTTCCAGACAAGATGGATATGTGCATGTGAAAATACCTGACTGCCAATTGAATGTCCTGTTTTGCACCTGATATGAATTTAGTCTTAACAATTATGCCAAATCCTTGGCATAATGTTCGAAAATTTAAATCTCAAAAGGGGTAAGATACAGAAAATGAAAGTTCAAGACCAAAAAAATCTGTCTTTATGAGTTAGTATAATATGGCTCCTTAAAGACTCTCAAAGGTTCCATTTTTATTTATTGCTTTCCACTCTGAAAATACACTCATCACTATGTTTTCAGGCACACGCTCAAAAAATTCTTAGAATACTAACTAAAGTCAACATTTATAAATCTTCCGGATTAAGCTACTACAACCTCCTCTTCAGGCAAATTCCTAACCGTGTTGATATCAAACTTCAATCCTGAAAGTCAGGAGGTTCAGCTGGGTCATCTAATGATCTCATTTGTATTCCTAGTCAGAAAGAAAACAAGGATTGAGTCAAAAGAGTCAAAGCGGTTCTTGCCTGCAGAGGTATAAAAAAAGCACCTTTGATTACTAAATCCTTTTGGGAGGCTAAAATCAGAAATAGGCAAAAAAGTACGGAGCATGTCGTGCTTTGATAAAGGGTGGACTAAAATGGAATAAAAGATTCCTACACAAGCTATTGTCATTCTCCTCTTGTATGGACTGAGCTTAAGAACATTCCTGTAACTCTTAAGTCCCAAGCTCAGCCAGATATGGGGAAAACATACCTCAGAGTTTTGATAAACAGAAATTATAAGCTGCCAGCCAATTAAAAATACTGATAGCTCTGAAGACCAGATTTCACACTCTCACATTTCTTTCCATATTGAGTAGAACAGTTAACAAAAGAAAACCATGTGAGATAAGCTGTAGGCATATTATACAAATGTTTAGTTTAGATTTCCACAATACATACAAAAGCTGAAAAAATTTAGTTACCTATGTAAATAGAAGATACAAATAAAAAACTAAAGAGAACAGAACCTTGATTATCCAGTCTAGTAACTCATGACTCCCAGTTATCACTACAATGTTTAGGCTCCAGTCTTGAAAGGAACAACAAACTCTGCACAAACATAGCCCACCCACAGAGAGATGCTTGCACTGCTGTACTTAGATCCTCCACGGTATTCCCACTGCGAGGAAGAAATTAATCACTGGATCTTTAACATTCTCTTACACAAGAACAAATCTTGGATGTTTAATGAGCTTACCACATTGCGACAAGGTGCAAAAACATCACTGTATAAAATTGAGCATTCCTTTTTGGCATAAGGGAACTTGCTTTGATGCACCTCACACGGTCTTAGTGTTTCATTTGGGCTCTTGCACTTAAAAAAAAAAAAAAAAAAGACAAACAAAAACCTCACAAACTTTTTAAACAAAGATGTGTTTACAATGGACTCAGGTACACTATATATATATATATATATACACACATATATACACACACACACACATATATATATATATATAGAATTCAATACTCATGTATTCAGAAAATAACAATAAAGTTTAAATGCTGTTCTCTTTAGCTGCACTCCCTTTCCCTGATTTGTTGTTTTAATTAAAAACATTTGCACAAAAAAGAATCTGTGTGTTTTGTTCTTAAGTACTCAAATGTTCCTGCTGCCTGCTCAGCGCATGCAGGCAAAATGTTTTCTTTGTGACACATCATAATCATTACCAGAGCAACCAAGTGTAACATCACAAACAAACATATGGGCCAAATCCATCCCTGGTGGTTTTGCACTGACTTTAAATGGAGTCACACTAGAGATGACTTTAGCCCTGTAAGTTCAAATAAAGAAGCAGCAGTAGGAACGAACTAACTCATAAAAAATAGAGTCAAAGATCATCGTGATAACTCAAAAATGGCTGAGATGCAACTCCCTTTCTTTAAGTCTGTCTTCAAGAAGAAAAACAAATGGACAAAAAAAAATAACAAAATGACACTCAGCTTGGAAAATGCAAGTTCATCCAAAACTGCACGCTCAGTGCAGAGCAGATGCCCAGAAAGCAGCAATGATAGATTAGTAGGCAGTGTTAGCATGTCCCGGTGCAGTCTCAGTTCTAGGATGGTCGCCCACCTACACTGCTTTCCTCTACGGCTGCCCTGACAATGCTCCGGGGGAATGTGCTGCTACTTCCAGAGGACAGAAACCTTGGAAACATCCCATACCTAACAGTGCCAATGTAAGCACGTTTTCTGGTGGTATAGTTGGGGTCTAGGCCTCCAGCTATCATATATTCCCTTACAGTATTTAGCCTATGGAGAAGAGATGACCTAGATACATCTTTATGGAGGCCAAAGGTCCTTTCTGAAAAAGTGCTAACATGCCCTACCACAAAGGCAGGGGAAATATTGAATCTGGCTGAGTGTGGCTTGCCTACAAGGCCAGTATTGAATTCAGAGTACTCTCAGGACTGCTCTGGCAGCCACAGAGGTCAGAGGATTATATGATATTTTACAAAAATATATAGCTGCAAAAAGACAAGTACATGTTTGGGGTGCTTAACCAGAGGTCATGAAATCCTAGAAGCTCTTAGGATTCGGGCTGTGCCAACACTATGCCTTTTTTTTTTTTTTTTTTTTTTAGATCAGCCACTGAACTGATAAACTGAAAAAAATATTAGCGGATTGAAACCCATACTGAAATCTTTCTCATTTTCATGAGATAACGCTACATCCTAGTCATATTTGCTTCTTCAAATATTTCTTTCAGAAAGGAAACAGTGAAATTGGAGAACTAGGCACCCTTCATAAAATTCTGCTAACGCAGGCCTCCATTTACTAAGTTGTCAACAGTTCATATAAACTTCATATAAAGTAACTATATGTTTTTTTTAAGTATCACCTTACAGATGAGTGGCATAACCACCACACTACACATTTCCCTTGCTTGCTCACACAATTTAAATATTTTATGTGGAGTAAAATAGAACCACAAGGAGATATTAAGGGAGAGAAACCTCAAAAACATTCTCCCAAAGCAAAATAGACATCATATTCTTTCACGAGGTGAGAGATTTTCATTCAGTTTCCTCTTCTGAGTCAGGGAGAGAACAGATTCAAAACCAAGTCCCCTAGACATCTTGCTAAGGGAATATTCTACAAATACTGATTTATCAGGAGGTTCACAGGGCTGTAAAACCTTTTACCAGTACAAATTAATAAAATACCCATTCTCCTGTGTTATCAAACACAGTTGCAGTCACCCACTCTCTACAACCTCTTCCCTCCTCCTCAGAAATCTAATTTCTGTACTGGGTTGTGCTCGTCAGTGTTGGGAGCTTTTTCTGTTTCACCACCCCCTTTGCCACGACTGCTTTGTCAGTTCATTCCGTGTTCCAGATTGCAACTGAAAAAATCACTGACTGAACATGAATCTTAGTTTTATAACTTCTGTATCTCGATTTATCTCCCACAGACTGAAGATTTTTAGCCTTGCACTATGGAAAGAGCCCCTCTTGCATTCATCTGAAATCAAGCAGGTTCTGACGTCTGAGGAAGATGTTTTTCCAGAGTTCAGATTCTATTTGTTTCAATATCCAGATGCCTCAAACATCAGAGGAAAAATTACAATTTTTTAAAAAAAATTTGGCTTAATCCAAAATATCAGAAGCAATATATCTAAATTTGGAGAAAATTCAAATCCAGAGAACTATAATAATTATTTTATATAGAATAGTTGGCCTCATTTAAACTCAATATTATATGTTTGCTACAATACAAGGAGTTACTAACCCATCTGATATATACAGACACGAAAATTCAAATGCCCTCTTATGTACTGACTGGTGGTCAATTTAGAAAATTCCTATACTTTATGTGCTATTAACATGTTCATTTATGAATAAAAATTATCATACTTTTTTTTTTTAACCAGACATAGGACTTACCTGTCCTAACACCCAGCTGTCTCCAAACACCTGTGCATTTCTCACCTCCATGTTGTTTGATGTAGTCAAATCATTTGAAGTGTATTTGTCAAAGTTTCCACACAAACCTGCCAGTTTACCCTAAAACAGAAGAATGATTTTTAACATATACTGATGATCAATAACCTGTATGTGCTATAAATGTTGCACAAGGCATTTTTAAACAAAAAAGGTAAACGCAACTGACTCATACTTTTAAAATATCTGACATTCTACTGTGCTTACAGTCCCATATTGCAAGCAACTTTTAATAGAAAGGTATCTTTTCCTTTTTTCTTCCTGTTTTCCAGATCCTATCCTCACTATCTGTCTGTGAAAAGGGACTAGAATCTAGTCATATTTTTTTTCTGAAAGCTTAGTAGTGTACCCAATCCAAAAGTCAAAAGTTCAGTTGAATTACCTCATAACTGTGAAGCCTGACTAGTTGTTGTCATTAAGACCTACTGCCTACAATTTTAGCTCACAATAGCAAGAATATTCGTAACAGCAGTTATGAAAGTCAGCTGCAACATTCTTGTGTTGGGTATGTGCTGCTAATGAAAAAATATACATATATACACGCACATATACACACACAGAAAAAAATATTTCTGCACAATAACAAAATGTAGATGGTTTTCTAGTGTACTACAGGTCATGCTAATAGATTATTTTTCCTTAAGATCTGCCAGAGACATCATCTTACTAAACTGCAGACTGTTGAAGAAACAGTCACTGGAGGCAGAGAAGAGTTTGAAGTACCTGTGTCCCTGCGCACAGCTTCTAGAACTTAACTCTCCTGCTAATTCACTGTAAAAGAGAAGAAATCTTTTTTTTTTTTTTAAATGTATAGTGATGCTTGATAATCAGCATACACGTAAGCATTTTACAGCTTTTAGGACAAAAAGATAATAATAATGTTGCTTTAAAATCAGGTTAGACTGCTATGTTGCAACTTTGACTTACACTTCAAAAAATTTGACGTTCTCCTATCTAGAGTGCTTTCTTTTCCTTCATTAGAAAGAGCCCTTTCTCAATATGTACATTCATGGTTGAGACAGAACAGAGATGCAGTTATCAAACGTGCAGATGAGGTTACTCTACCAGGACCCAAAGACTGAGTTGCAGAGGCCGGAGGACAGATGATGATGATGGAGGGAGGGATTAGAGAGGAGCAACTGGCAGAAGGAGCCCCATGTTATCCCTTGCATCCAATCCTAAGCCTCTCACAATATACTTCTGTGTTTTAGATATCAGTTCTTGTCTAGATCCTTTTCTGTATCTCATTTTCTTAGCTTAAACCCAAGATGTGATTCTATCTGTTCATCTCAGCAGCCTCTGCTACATCTCAGGGTGCAGTTCCACTATCGGCCTAATCCAATATGAGATTGTGCTACAAACCTGCCCTTTTTCATGTTGCCAGCTATACGTTTCCTGCAGCTTCTTTTTCACCGGCCTCAGTGATTACGAATCCATACTAGATTCATAGCGAATAAGTGTATAACTGAAACTAATTTACACACACACCTCCCTTGCTCCCCCTAAATCAACCTTGAGTTAGAGTCAAATCACTGCACATCTACAAGGCTGCAGTGCTTGGAACAGCAGAATAAACAGGCATGTAGAACCCACCCCTTCTCTTCAGGAGTACAGCCATGAAATCACATCCTCAACCTGTTCTTTTCTTACCTGGGAAACGCTAGCAGGTGAACACCATGATATACAACTATATCGCTAGGAATGTTAGTTATGAAACAAAGATGATCACAGTTATTTCACAGGAGAATATATTAGTACACTGAGACCTATACAAAAACTCAGCTTTTTATTTTGTCTCACCTTCCATCGAGGTCCAACTTTAACATGCATTGTTGTCTTCTTGTCCCATAGAATCGTAATATCCTGTTCTGGAAAGCGTATCACTGTATAATATCCAGCCTTCCAAAGCTGATAGGTAGATCTGTTTTCCTGTCCCCTTAAGGTCTTCTGACAGAAACGGATATTTATTAAGATCTAATATAGCAATTCTACAACCAAGGTATGCAGCCAATTAGCAACATAAGATACCCTTCAATATACACTTTACCTTTAGCATATAACTGAATTAATAGTATTACCGGAAATAAAGTTGTGTGTTTTGCCTTTTGGATCATTTCAAGTTTGCTTGGACTGCACTTTGGCTTCCCTTGCAAAACCAAGGGCAGAGAACAAATAAATGCCATTGTGCTTTGACTCCTTGAGGCTTTTGATCAGGCTTCTTTGTAGCGCAAATAGAACTTGAAAAAACAACAGAAAAACAAGATTTTTCCTGGGAGCTGTTGCTTTATCTAGGCCTAAGCACTTGTATTGTGTTGACTCAGACTGAGATGTTTTCCAAAAATACGCTCCTTTAGAGGTGCAACTTTAAAATGCTTATTTAAATGGCAATTCAAACAGGAAAGAAACTAACCTGCTTCTCAGAAGGTTCACTAAAATAAATCTCAGTGTCTCCAACAGTGATGAAAACACTCTTTGAGCAAACAATATTGTTGTCAAAGCACTTCTTGTTCTGAGCAATTATAGATACATTTGAGTTATCTGTGCTCTGCAACATGAAAAAGAAATAATTTTACTTACAAATACAATTGTGTTTCACTCCTGCAGATATGTTCCAGCCTCAACATCACAAAAGGATGAATAACTTACAGTTTTCACATCTTTGAATTTAGAACTTAAGAAAAGCTACCAGACAAAGAACTACATTTTCGAATTCAAAATTGAGCCCTCGACCAATTCAAATGCTGGAGTTAAACAAAAAGAACCATTATGTTCAACTATCAGTATTTTTCCTTCTGTCAGATATTTGGAGGATCTGCCTATCTCTAAAATAAAGAGTCTGCTTTAGGCTTTTAAAATATGCTCATGCATGGAATCCAATGCTTACTGCACAATATAATTGTCAAAAATCAAGACACGCTATAAAAAGAACTTTTTTTTTTTAAACCAAGATACTTGAGATCAAGCCATTGCTATATTTTTACAGCTAAGAAATCTATCATCTCTAAGTAGTAGGTAGAATAATTTCTGTACTGCTATCTCCAGATTTCAAGAAAACTTGAGTTAATGTAAAAGTTCTCAGACTAGGGAAAATTTTCTGTTAGTGTTTTTGTCAGTGTCGTTTCCTAACATTTAGGAGTATTGTCTCCTCTTTTGTCTTTCGATTTGCTGATGTCCCATATCCACCTCAAGGTATGCCACATATACCGCACTTCCAGTTTACTCTACACTTCCATACTGTTTCTAATCCCTCAAATTCAAATTTATTCTGTGCTATCTTCACAATCCTGTATCTGTAGGATACAGATCTGTAAGCTCTCCAGCCTGTAAATTAATTTTGTATCCTCAGCACAATCACTTCTGCACTTTGGCTCAGCACACCTGTCTGTTCACCTGCAGCTTCTGTGGTTCTTTCATACCCTGAGACAAATGCACATGCACCCTGTAATTCCCCTTGCTAGTCCCCTTGCTAGGACCGGTACTAGAAGAGAGAGCAGCTGTATTTTTGGAGTTGATAACACTCTACCACAAACAAAAAAAAAATTGAGTTACTCTCACTCATCCTTTCTTACTCATTTAAAATCTGCCTTTTGATTGACTTCTATACCAACCCTTGCAAATCAACAACAAGAAGCCTATAAGCTGAAAAGACTTGAGAGATGTAACTTCATAACACTAATATAAGCCAACAACAGTGCCTTTGAAGCCAGTATCATTTTTGATCAAACACTGTCCTACAAGCATTACAAACCTGTGACAGATATGAAATAAAAATCTTTGATGTGACAAGCTTTGTACCCTACCACTGAGTCATTCAGTCATACATGAGACACTTTGGTAGTGCTGGAAACAAAATGATGTCCAGCCTCTTCTTACTCCCACCCTTTTTGGAATATTCTCTCAAAACATGACTTACCGTAAGGTTTTTTGAGGAGAGAAAATCTAAGAACCACCTGCTTTTGCTTGCATATTTTCACTATATTAGCCACTTACTCAGTCTAATTACAAGCCTACATAGTTCATGCAAACTGTTCCTAATTACTGTCTTTATAAGCGAACAATAGCACGTATTCTTACCTTTGCAAGAGAGAAAAAGTGACGTTAAATGGGCTACCATATGGCTATGCACGCAGCACGCTCGTCTCCAGAAGAGCGTGTTCAGCCAGATGCCAGCAGCTCTACCTCCTGGGCACTGGGGCAGAAGCTTTGGGACTTAGGGGCATGGGAAGCAAAAGTGAGTTTAGGGCAGATACGGTAACCCAGGGGCAGAAACTAGAAGAACTAATTCAAGATCCCAGTGGGCACAGTGGGCAAGATAAGAACTGTTCACAGCAACTTGAGGACTCCTCTTGGCACTCAACAGGGCTCTCGGAGAGCACTGCTTGGCCACAGGAGGAGGGACCCTGCCTTGGTGTGCACCTGCAGCGTCCCTTCCCTGAGCTTTGCTCCCTCTCTTGATCAATCTGGAAGGTGCAGCGCACAGAATCCTGGTTACTCCCTGCACGTCCCCACATTCATACCCTTATTTGTTCTGTGTTCATCAGATCCTGAGAACGAAAAACATATCAGCAATTTTTCCTCATCAGTGCTGAAGAATTTTCTGTATGCACATTGCATACAGAAAATATGGTTGCTGCAAGAAGCAGCTTTCTTTTTCTTTTTAAATAACAACCAAAGCAACGAAACTGTTTAAAGAATACTTCTGGTCCAAAGAAAACCCCCAACCCTAGATGATACAAAGTGGAGAGGTATTTTTGTTGTCCCGCAGAGGAGGCACTACAGCTTTGTTGCCCGTACTCCAGCAGGGCCCGCAAGCCAGAAGATGCTACTACTTGGCATAGAAAACACTCTAAAGCAAGGGTGAGCAAATGCGATGAACGTGAGATATGAGAGACTGCCTGCAAATTCTGTGTTATGCTAATACCAGGACTTAAGAAGTAGATGTGTAGTAGCAAGTAGCTAGTAGCAACTAGCCTGGAAGACAAAGATAAAGGTAGGGAAAATAAGGTCTAGCACCTAAAGGCAAGGGTCTGTAGGAAAATAGCTCTTCACTGTTTAGCAGTGGAGCTCAGTTTAAAAGGAAATGGAAGCTTCAGGGTTCAGCAACGTTCCATCCTGTTATAAAGCTGCTTTAAACTGCACTCAGAATGGAATGGGTCACTACCTTTTTTGGGAAATGCACTGTGCTAATTAAGCCAGGCTTGCTGCCGGACTCAGTCCAGTAATTATTCCCCTCCAAGTCTCAGATAACAGCCCAGAGCATGTTTGGATTTATTGGAGGCGATGTGGCAAATTAAAAAGGAGATGAAATCATCAAGCTGGTAAATATGATGCAAGCTGATATATTCTATATTGGTCTTACGAAAAGTGAGCAAGCAAATGACCTCCTACCATGAGTCAGTTCGGAAAAGGACTTAGCTTGGAGTATATAGGACTAATTAATACACTAAAATATCACGGGCTGTTTTCATTGCAGAGTTCATTGCTCTTCAGTTAGCTTAGCTTCAGTAAAAAGAGGCACTCTGAATTAATAGGGAAGTAATAGGGAATAAACGTCTTCACTGCAAGAAAGAGACTGAGTTGCCTTTTTTTTTTTTTTTAAGGATAGTTAATTCAGACTTAATTATCCCACAGTAAAAATACACCTTTTTTGGCAATGAAGAAAAGTTCTTGGAGCAGCATCGTGTAGCTGTATTAGCTGCGCTAATTTAAACGGCTGCCTGTGCCCTCTGACGGTCCAGGCCAATCACCTCAGCTTAACAGCATCAACAGACTCAAGTCAGAAGTTTTTGTGTATGGTTGGGATTTGAGCCAAGGGCAAAAGTTGAGCAATATTTCAAGTTAACTCTGCAGTAAAGAGAAGCCTGGAGACATGAAGTGTTTTGATGACCAAAGCCAGAACAGGGACTCCTAAAGACATGTGAAGTACTTCCTTACTTGTAGGACTGCATATTGGTGTTAAATTACTGGAAACGCTGTATGGTGGAAATGCAGAAAGCCATCGTTAGCGGTTTAGTAGAACTGTGAGTAAACCAAACATTTAAGAAAATGGATTTGCATTAAAACCTGAGCCTCCTGTACTTTCTCTCTTTCCAGTTAAATCTTAGAGCTAACCCCAAATGTAAAACACCATTATGAATTACATGTATCTTGTGGATCAAAGCTTTCAAGATAAAATTTGCTCTACGTTCACACCCATGCCCCTCTCTTCTGAATTAAAAATTGGGTCTTTTCCCACCCATATAGTGCCAGCCAAATTCAAAGTTGAATCACACTACTACTAAGGTCTATAAATTAGTCTGTAACTGCTACATATGCAGCCACTGCTTTCAGCATGGAGGAAATAACATGCAGTTGAAACTTAATACCTAACTATTGCTAATGCAAAAGAAAGAGGGACTATTTAAATTAAAAGAGCATCCCCACTTTATGTCTGTGTAAGACAGGGAGGTCTTGGGCAAATCACTGAAGCTCTTAAGTACTTTGATAGCATTAATGATAATGATCGAGCTCCACCTTAATTTGTACTGGACACATACCTCTCTAAAAACTAGCTTTTGTCATTACTGTTGGAAGAAATGTCTGAGTAGACACTAGGAGCAGGTCTAATGAATAACTAGGTGGTTCTCTTTTTGTTTCTTTTTTTGCGCATGAAGTCTGTTTCCAAGGCAGAGTTGCTCTTTACCTTTTTAGGTAAAATGCACCCGATAGGGGATGTACTACAGTTTGTCATGTGAAACCTACTTACGCTGACAGAAACTAGAAATAAAATGGTTTTCCCACTGCAAGAGTATCTTCCCACGTAAATTACCATATCCAGCTTGTTCCAACTTAATATCAGTTTCTTTGTGATAACATGGAGTTGCCAAGCAACAGGGAAGACAGAGTTACAGATCTGGGCAGTCAGTCAAAAACTCATTGTCAGTCCTACTTCTCAGAACATTCTTTTTCTAGACTTCACTGCACTTTTTTCCCCATATTTCTTCCTATCTTAAAAAGCAAAGCACTTCTTTCCATTTTTTTTCAGTACTGCTTGGGAATGCTATGATTTATTTTTGTCAGAAACTTTCTATTCCTGTATCCTGCTAGAAATTTTCTATCACTATCAACCAATAACGCAGGTTTATTATATAGTAAAGATGCAGCCTGAGAGAAAACAATTTAAAGGTGGCTGTGCTTTTTTGTCTTTTAATATTTCAGTAAAATCTCCCTAATTAGTCAGTGTAAAGACTTACTCTTTTCCATTCCTAATATCCTGACTTTCCCTCTTTTTGTGCTTCGTTCTCTACAATATGCTGCCTTGCAAACTAGGATGGCCACAATAGAATCTAGAGACGTACTGGGAACTGGATAGAGAGAGATCTGCCGAGTCTCATTTTCCTTTCATTTTCATGACTCTTCAGTGCTTTTCCTGCACACGCAAAACGCTCCAAAAATACCAAAAAAAAAAAGTACATTAATTTAAAAAGTAGATGATGCTTTTTCCTAAGTGTTTTCAGAGACATACCATTAGCATTGGTCAGACTTAAACTTTCCTGAAAGTTTACA